ATAGCACACAAAAGTGTTAATAATTTTCTGCACTTTTTATGAAATACCTGTATGAAATCTACATCTTGATTCTGCAGTATATATCATAGTGTTACCTGGTTTGAATTGTGAACCTGCACATCATATACTTTGAGCTTGCTCTCAGAGACTGGTAGCATTCTTTGATATGGTATTTTTGGGGGTGATCTTATGTCTAAGATTTTGTCGTTCTAGTTTTTCTTTTTCCAAAAAGGAGAAGGTTGAAGAATTTATTACTAAGATATCTATTTAAATTTATAATTATCCAGGTATATTCAACGAGATACGTACAGTGGGACATTTCCAATGAAATAACAGACTGGTCTGGAATGAAATTGTGTACCGAAAGAATAGGCAGAAAAAAACTACATCCTGGTCTAGAATGAAATTGTGCACCGAAAGAATAGGCAAGAAATACATCTGCTTTCTGATCTGGAATGAAATTGTGCACCGAAGGAACAGGCAACGCTTTAAACAAGACCTCTCTTTAACTGATGAATTGATATATGCTTCAAAGAAAAAACTTTCTTCTCCTGCATCATTAAAATATTTCCATACGTCTATATTGTGAATATATATTTTTCGAGAGCCACTGATGAATCTTGCCTAGACGAAACAAGCGTCTGTTATACTAACGTACTAAATTAAAAGCTTGTATCTTTGTTGAATTTTTCCTCTTTTTATTAAGTCTAAACAGATATGGTTTATAGATAAGATCTTATGAAATTCTTCGTGATGTTTACCGGTCATCTATATAGATATAATCTGATTACTTCAGACCGGAAACTTTGTAGGCTTATGTTCTAGCAGTAGGTAAGACATGTCAAATTTTCACGTACTGACCGATTTTGTTTTAATTGTTTTTTTAAGGATTTTCAACCCCCAGGAATAGATTACGTAAGCTATATTTGGCAAAACCTTTTGCGATTTGGGGTCCTCCATGCTCTTCAACTTCGTACTTTATTTTGCATTTTTTAACGTTTTTTTATTCGAGCGTTACTGGTGAGTCTTTTGTAGACGAAACGCTGGCGTACAATATTTTAAGCCTGGTATCTATGATGAATTTATTTGTTAGTGGTGCATAAAATGTGAAATTGTATCAATGCCAAGAAAAAAAGCAAAAATTTTAAGATAACATGTCAAATCCCAATTTAAAAAATATTTCAGTTACTAAATTTTACAGTATCCCCCCTTCGTGTGTTTACTTTGAGGTTTTAAAAAAGTACTATGTCTCATATCTTAACATAATATTAACGTCAAAACTGATATGATTGAAGGATTTTTGGCAAAACAATGTATTAAAAGGACATTAATACAAACCTTATTGTATTGGAACTGAAGTTATATATTCTCTTTTTCGCTCGAGCATGTTCACACTATACGGACTTCATTAGTATGGGTGTGCTCTATACAAAAAAACTGCCTAACAGAGTTATGAGGAAAAACGAATGAAATCGACACACTATAAGTTTTAAGGTCACCATCATGAATTGGTTGACCGAAACGACATGCCTGTGTCTCAACTCACTAACGACATATTTTCTCGTATTAGATCTTTAGATACCAGGATACCAGAATAGTCGTCTTATCTTTATAGTCTTACCGGTTGTGTCCTATTCCCGATTGTGACATTAAGATTGAGAGTGGATTCACATGGCGGATGATACATGCGTAGCAGGAGAAACCATACCCTTTCGACGCACCCGGTCTTGTTTCTTTTGGAGTTCTGCAATTCTATTCAGTAATGCTTTGCATGTATTTCAATATGCCTGTGCTGTTTCTATGCATTTGAAATAATTTGCTGCTTTTATATTTTATCTGCATGCTCTGTGTTTTAATGTTATGTATATGTTAATTTATATTCGGTAAAAAGCTCTCAAGAGCTTATGTTTGTATTGTTATATGTGAACCGAATCAAAATAAAACTTTCGTATTCGTATTTGTATTCGTATTAGTTTTTGTTTGTTACCTTGATTTGTCTTCGTAATCAATTTATGAGATTTGAACATCGGTAGACAACTGTAGACTTAATCAATCAGACCCAAATTATTATATGTTGGTTCACCTTGTCCTTCGATACAGAATTAAAAAAAAACGTAAAACATTAGCGAAAGGTTCCATACTTGTTTATGTGTTTTTGTATTCGCTCTGATGAATTTCTAGGTCGGTTACTCTAATATTTGTTAATTACTTGGATGTAGGTAATCGACTCTATCAGTAGAAAAGAATATGAATTCAACATAAATGAAACGAAAACTAGCATTACTTGTTTCTTTGCGTGTCAAATTAAGGCGTATTTTTAAGTCTTATATTACTAAAACGGAGATGGAGTAACGCCAAAATTTATCAGATTTTTTATAAACAAAATAATTTCTCTGTATCAATAATAAGATTATGTGGGAGTGTTGTATAAGGGGAAAATATCGTAACCAACAAATCAGGAAATATTTAAATCGCTATTGACTTAAGCTTGTCACAAATTATATCACATCCCTGATTTAAAACAGACACTTTGCAAGCAAACAACAAAAGTTTGAGAGATTGGAGGTGTTTTTTATTTATAACTATACACCCCGCACAGCCACACAGACCCCTCTCTGCAAGAGTTGACTTTTGGGTTCTAGTAGTCCAAAACTAGCATATTACCACATGTGTTTACTTCCGCATCCCAATCCGACCGAACACACATCAACTATTACTTTACACATCAAGCACAAAAACAACTCTAAATTTCACAGGATTTGGAATAGGTGGGCCCCAAACTTGGCAACGTTAGGAGTGGGACATGTACAAGACTATATATTAACCTTATATGTTGCCCTTTAAGGGGGCCTAAGTCCGCCTCTGTTTATTAACCAGAAGGTATTCAAAATTGTGTTAAAGCGTAAAAAGTATATAACACAAAACCACTATTCGAAGGAATGCCGAGGTCTCATTTCAAAGTTGTATACTGAATTCTGGAATATTGAAACTTGTAGTTAAAATACTAGTTACGTACTATAAAAATAAGGAGATGAGATATGATTGCCATTGAGACAACTATATATCCACCCAAGTTCAAATGAAGTGTATGTAAGCAACTATATGCAAACGTTCTGCCTTCAACAATGAGAAAAACCCATACCGTATAGTCGGCTATAAAAGGCCCCGTCATACAAAATATAAAACAATTCAATTGAGAAAACTAACGGCCAAATTTATAACAAAACAATGTACGAAAAACAAATATGACCGACATGAACCAACGACAACCACTGAACTACAAGCTCCTGACTAGGGACAGGCACATTAAGAATGTGGCGGGGTTAAACGTGATGTGAGCGCTCAACCCTCCCCTAACCTGGAACAGTGGTGACACAGCACAACATATTATTATGACTGTTAATAACGTCTTTACACTAAATCCATTGGATGTTAAATGTGAACTGATTGATATTTTGGTCTTAGATGCATGATTTTTTATTAGTTGTTATTAGCTTTGAACTAGCTGTCAGTAACTCGAAAAGATATCTACATCTCGCTTTTAAATAGATATTATGAGAAAGCAATAGGATTTCAAAAATGGGACAGAATTCTAAATTTAGATAACAATACAAGGAAAAGAGAACAAATGTTGTACTTCATCTTTAACTATATCCAAGATAATAAATTGAGAATGTTAAGATGGAAATTTCTACATTACATTTTACCAACCAAACAATTACTTTTCTCTTGGAAAATAACTAAAACTCCTCTATGTAATATATGTAATGTCATTGAAGATTATGATCATTACTTTCTGACATGCAAATATCTAAAATCATTTTGGGATCAAATAAAACTAATACTAGACAAACTTAAAATAGGACATCATATAATATCACTGGCATCACTTTTGTATGGATATAAGATAAACGATACAAATTATTACAATATCAACGACTTTCTAACAATCGTACTTTTTACTATATATAAAGTGTATTACATATCCGAGCAGAAAACAAAACAAATTAATGTGTTTGAAATTTTTAAAGGTGAACTTTTCCAACATTACGAAATATTGACAAATAAACAAGGCAAATATAAAAACTTCTACAATTTGGTTGCAGAAAAAATTAATTTATCTTCTTAACTAAGATTTATAATATATCATAGTAATTTCTTTTTATCCTGTTATACATTATTTATTAGCAAAATTGTATGTTGTGTACTAACAAGTACTAACCTTATGAAATGCTATATACTAACGTCAACGAGACCGGGATAAGGTACCGGTACTTTATGTATCTCTAACAAATGTACATTTCAAATAAAATTATACAGAATTAAAAAAAAAAAAAAAAAAAAAAAAAAAAAAAAAAAAAAAAAAAAAAAAAAAAAAAAAAAAAAAAAAAAAAAATCCTGATTCACTTCTTACCTATGATGTAAATTATAGAGTGTTTGTGTTTTTTCGGATATATATAAGTGGACGAGTGGAATTTCTTTGCTTTGGATTAATAGACTAGTTTTTAAATTGTATTATCGGTACCTAGCTATGCACCAGACACGCACCTCAAAAATCCATGCCTCAGATTCGCATTTCGACACTTAATGTCTCTTCACAGATGCTCGAAGCCAAAATATTTGAATGTCCAAAATCTAATAAAAACGTTGAAGAGCTGATAAAACCAAAAAACGAACAAAAGAAAAGTTAAATCCGGATAAGGAATCAAACCATTAATAAGGAACATTAAAGTTTTTATCTGCGTATTTTGTCGTTTACAAAATTTAGGCAAAAAGTATTTTGCAATATTGAAGTAAGAAACAGGGAAAATAAATAGGATGCCAAGACGGTTTATTTTGCCCTCATACATAACAAACATTCTGATATTAACCTCTTGCTTTCCCTTTTTTAATGAAGGGGTTGGAGAATGGATAATTGTTATATTTGATTGATATGCTTTTTACAACTTTTTGTATTTTACGTGATACCTGCCTTATTTTATTTTTTTTTTATTGTAGATTGGCAGAATGCTGTTGAGTGTTTTAGCTGTACTCTGTGCATCAGCAGGTAGTCCAATACATTAATTTTTAATCAAAAATTTATTACATAAGTGTGTTTGAGCATGATGAATGTGTTTTTTTTTTTTAGATTATTTTCTAGTTTTTAATAGATGCGATCCCCCAACCAACTTTTACTTTAAAGCAAATTGTTAATGATTTATTAACTGTGAAGATTCTTTATTTTACAAGAGTTATATTATGCGAAATCTCTAATATCGAAAAATTATTTCCCTTCTAGAAATGATTCTCCTCCAAGCCGCCATTTTTTCTCTTTTTTTTATATATGTTTAAACACTGCAAATGCTCTCTTCTTATATATATACAATATGGCAAATGCATTAGTGTGTAAGGTACCAATAAATCATATAGAAAGACAAGAGGCATATCTTTTAAAGAAAAAAATATAGATTTTGTTTATACTGCTGAGCATTTCAATAATTAAGGACGACAGAGTTCATACAAGATTTATAACTAGAGGCTCTAAAGAGCCTGTGTCGCTCACCTTGGTCTATGTGCATTTTAAACAAAGGACACAGATGGATTCATGACAAAATTGTGTTTTGGTGATGGTGATGTGTTTGTAGATCTTACTTTACTGCATATTCTTGCTGCTTACAATTATCTTTATCTATAATGAACTTGGTCCAGTAGTTACAGTGGAAAATATTTTGTAAAAATTTACAAAAATTTACAAAATTTATGAAAATTGTAAAAAATTGACTATAAAGGGCAATAACTCCTTAAGGGGTCAATTGACAATTTTGGTCATGTTGACTTATTTGTAGATCTTACTTTGCTGTACATTATTGCTGTTTACAGTTTATCTCTATCTATAATAATATTCAAGATAATAACCAAAAGCTGCAAAATTTTCTTAAAATTACCAATTCAGGGGCAGCAACCCAACAACGTGTTGCCTGATTGGTCTGAAAATTTCAGTGCAGATAGATCTTGATCTAATGAACAATTTTATCCTGTCAGATTTGCTCTAAATGCTTTGGTTTCAGAGATATTAGCCAAAAACTGCATTTTACCCTATGTTCTATTTTTTGGCATGGCGGCCATCTTGGTTGGTTGGCCAGGTCACCGGACACATTTTTTAAACTAGATACCCCAATGATGATTGTGGCCAAGTTTGGTCAAATTTGGCCCAGTAGTTTCAGAGGAGAAGATTTTTGTAAAAGTTTACGGACGACGGACGCAGGACGCAGGACGACGGACGACGGACGCCAAGTGATGAGAAAAGCTCACTTGGCCCTTTGGGCCAGGTGAGCTAATAAAAAGGGCTTGTTCTGTTAACTGATTCAGATTGTTAAAACAAACGATTTTTTTACAACATAGTTTCAACGTGTAATTAAACCTTATTAAAACAACCTTTTTACACCAAAAGTACTGAACTGCAGAAACTAAGCATTCCGATGATTGGTTCATTAATTGGGATTTTCTTTCGCAAAAGTGAGGAACAGACTATCAATCTGATGAGTTTAGCCTTTTTCAACTGATTTTTATAGTTTGTTCTTGTGTTGTGCTGTTACGCCACTGTCGCAGGTTATGGGGAGGGTTGAGCACTCACAAACATGTTTAACAATTATTTATTTTGTAAAAATATTTCCTTTCTCTATTGGTACTGTACACGTATACCTAACAACAAAATTATTTTCATTTACCTGTGTTTAAATTTATTGTATGATGGCTGATATTTTTGTTCGAGCATATTGTTTTTCTTTAATTGTTTAACATTTCTTACCGATATAACATGTTACTTTTATTATTCTTCCCTTAGTTTATTTATTTTGTATTTACATTGTGACATGGGTCAAATTTATTTGTTCAGTGTATGTTCAATGCTGTTAATATGCCCTTTGATTGAGTTAAGCTATTTCAGTTGATATTTTATAGTGTGTCTTTCTATGTTGTGATGTTACACTATTGTTTCAGAAAAAGGGTGAAGGTTTGGTACCATTTAAACATTTATACCCGCTGCATTTGCACCTGTCCTAAGTCAGGAATCTGATGTTCAGTAGTTGTCGTTTGTTGATGTGGTTCATAAGTGTTTCTCGTTTCTCGTTTTTTATATAGATTAGACCGTTGGTTTTCCCGTTTGAATGGTTTTACACTAGTAATATTTGGGGCCCTTTATAGCTTACTGTTCGGTGTGAGCCAAGGCTCCGTGTTGAAGACCGTACTGTGACCTATAATGGTTTACTTTTATAAATTTTGACTTGGATGGAGAGTTGTCTCATTGGCACTCATACCACATCTTCTTATATCTATTAACTCCGCCACATTCTGTATGTGCCTGTCCCAAGTCAGGAGCTTGTAGTTCAGTGGTTGTCGTTGGTTCATGTCTGTCATATTTGTTTTTCGAGATTTGTTTTGTTATGAATTAGGCCGTTAGTTTTCTTAATTGAATTGTTTCATATTTTTAATATCGGGCCCTTTTATAGTCGACTATACGGTTTGGGGTTTTCTCATTGTTGAAGGGCGTACGGTTGCCTATAATTGCTCATATCCACTTCATCTGAACTTGGGTGGATAGTTGTCTCATTCGCAATCATTTCTCATCTCCTTATTTTTATATTATAACATTTATCTACAAAAAGAGGTGGAATTAGCTTGAACCTCGACCTTTTTAAATAATGTCAAATAAATTTCCTTAATATGCATGGTAATAACTACTTCACATAAAAAAAATTCTTCTTCAGCTACCGTTAGTCCAAGAAGATTCGTAATCTTATTCCTTAAATTCTAATCAAACTCCAATGTAAGATGACGTTTTTTTTAACGTTTACAAATAATCTTCACTTCATTTAAATGAAATGTAATCGAAAAAACGGTCATAGGACAAACAGAAGATTTTTAAACAGACAAGAAGATTTCAGTTTCTTTATATTTAATTACTAATTCATATACATCACGTGTCTGGTGTGCATATTTTTTGCTTATTAGCTTCTCAAGAGCACATCAAGAGTCTGTGTTAGGGCACAAAAACTTCCTACAATGTATCTATTCAGACATAATTAATTTGAAAATTAATAGCTGATATTATCCCCATGAAGGGTTCTATCAACAGAATACGGATTGGTTTGTCACAAAATATGCAAAGAGTGTCTTTAGTTTATTACTCATCCAACAGTTTTGTTAATTGTTTTGGTCGTTCTATGCATAATAATGACTTATATAGTTCTTCTATTTAAAATTTTTGTCAAGCTTTTTTCTAAATTTTATTTTGTTAGTATTTTTTCCAGGATGTCAGGCCAGACTGAGTGTTAGTGGAACCAATCTTAATTACAATGGACATCACATATTTTTATCTGGTGCTAACCAGGCTTGGGTCCATTATGCACGCGACTTTGGCCATAACCAGTACAGCAAAGGAAAATCAACGTTTGAATCGACCCTGAGTGACATACAGAGTCATGGTGGAAATTCCGTCAGTAAGTGAAATAGGGGGATGTTGGTGGTGGTAATTACTATGTCATTCAAGTGTTATTGTTTAAATATGATATGTTTGTTGTATATATTTATTATTGTACATAAATATATAATTGCTGTCATCTTGCATTTTTGTAATTTTTTGGAGAGGACTATGTTAAGTTATTATAACTCGTATTCAATCCTATTATTTATTTAGACAATACAATATGTTTTGACTAAACTAGGTCAATAAAAAAGTAAAAAAATATTTTTGAAATGTTCTTTTACACTAAATGACTGAGGGGTATATATAACGTTATATTACAATGAATAGTTAATGGGTTTATAACGATTATCCCACCTTTGATGATGTATATTATCTATGTTGTGTTTTGTATATTGTTGCTTGTCTTTTGATTGTTGTTCGTTTTTTGCCACATCATTGTAAATATAAAAATAAGGAGATGTGGTATGATTGCCAATGAGAACTATCCACCCAAGTTCAAATGACGTTGGTGTAAGCAATTATGGACAAACGTACGGCCCTCAACAATGAGAAAAACTCATACCGTATAGTAGGCTATAAAAGGCCCCGACATGAAAAATATGAGACAATTCAATTTATAATAAACAATTTACGAAAAACAAATATGAAAGACATGAACCAACGACAACCACTGAACTACAGGCTCCTGACTTGGGACAGGCACATACAGAATGTTGCGGGGTTAAACATTTTTGGAGCGCTCAACCCTCCCCCTAACCTGCGACAGTGTTGTAACAGCACAACATAAGAACAAACTATAAAAAAAAAACAGTTTTGAAAAAGGTTTAACTCATCAGATCGATACAAAGCAGAAAACATCAAACAAAAACACAGACCGGACGTGGCAGGGTATTTATCCATCCCTCATCCCTAACAACAAAAAAGACACTAAGTACAGATCTGAGAGTACTCGCAGTTACTGACAGGTATTTTGTTTTCAACTTATGAGTTTGAATATTCCTTTTGTATCTTTCGCCCCTCTTTTACCGACAATAATATAAATTGCCATATTTTTTATTTTTAACTTTACGGCTAAAGAATGTTAAATATCATTATATTGATATATTTTAAAATGAATAGGAGTATGGCTGCATATTGAGGGAGAATCAACACCCAATTTTGACAACAATGGGCACGTAACTGGTATAGATAATACATTGATCAGTGACATGAGGGCATATCTCCAGGCTGCCCAAAGACATAACATTTTAGTATTCTTTACTCTCTGGAACGCTGCAGTAAAACAAAGTACACATTATCGTCTAAATGGACTCATGGTGGATACAAGCAAACTTCAGTCATACATAGACCATGCTCTAAAACCAATGGCTAACGCTTTGAAAAATGAAAAGGCCCTGGGTGGATGGGATATAATGAATGAACCCGAGGGTGAAATTATACCAGGACAAAGCAGCTCCGAACCTTGTTTTGACACAAGACATCTATCGGGATCTGGAGCAGGATGGGCTGGCCATCTGTATAGTGCTCAAGAGATCGGCAGGTTAATAAATTATGTTGATACTGGTTGATGTTTTTCATATTTAGGGGGAAATAGATGTTACATGAGAAAATAGGGCAAAGTATAGAAGGGGACAAAACAGTAAACGACTAGATGAGGAAGTTATGCCTGTGACAGGGACTCGTTTTATTATTGAATTCATTTAAGTTATTTTTTTTAGGTCTATGATAAAGTTGTGAAAAATATCGGACACACACATGTATACATAATAACATTAACGATACCAATTTTTCTGATATTTTATTATTATATTGCTAATTGTGTGAATTCATTAAAAAAATATTACAAACTATAAAGAACAATGAGACTTGCTTAAAATTTAGATTTGTGAACTGGCAAGCAGCAGCTATTAAGGAAGTTGACCCAGGAGCAATGGTTACAGTTGGATCATGGAACATGAAAGCTGACACTGATGCAATGGGATTTCATAACTTGTATAGTGACCACTGTCTTGTAAAAGCAGGAGGGAAGCAAAGCGTAATATAAATATCTAATTGTATTGAGTTATACACCTATTTTTACCTTTTCCGGTTTTAAACTTATACTGTCCGAACTTTTTCTTAATCTGGCATATGTCTGTAGGTTCTACAACACTGCTTTACATTCCTGTTTATATGCTTTTATAAAAGAAGATTTAACTGATTTCTTTCGTATAATTCGACATACGGCACTTATATTCTATAACATTGTAAAATAAATATTCGCCTTCAACAAATAAATTCCATTTCAATAATTTTATCATTTTATCTTTATTACTTAACAGGGTACTCTGTCGTTTTATCAAGTGCATAGCTACGACTGGCAAAATCATTTTGGGAATGAATCTCCCTTCAAAGTAAGTATTGAAAATTCAGTTTGATTGTGTATATGTTCGCAAAAGTATGTGGTTTTCTTTTCTTGTATCAAACTCTTCAGGTTTAGAAAAAAATACAAGAGTATGTTAACAACAATATTGGATTTCTTCTTTTACAAAGAAATTTCTTGTAACGTCGACTTTTAATCCATCAGATAAAATTAAATTATTTACAACAGTTACACTTTAACTGCAGGTAACTTTCAATAGAAATTTCTAGAACGAACAGAAAGGGCTGGTGTGAGTCTTTGGGGCAAGGGTATTCTGAGATGTCAATTTCTTTTCCAGCATTCCTTTTCCAACTTCCGACTTAAAAAGCCTATGGTAATTGGTGAATTCAATCACGAACACGGTGCTGGCATGTCGAGTGAATCCATGTTTGAATGGGCCTATACAAAAGGTTATTCCGGTGCATGGACTTGGAGCAGGACTGATGTCAGCTGGAGTAATCAGCTACGCGGAATGCAACATCTGAAATCCAGAACTGACCATGGACAAGTTCAATTTGGTCTTTAATGAAAACTCTATTATATGTCTGTTTAAGTAAAATATTGGGATGTTTTTGTAAGGTTACCCACTGCCTGCGCAGATCACAAGGAATAAATACTAGTTTTTGAAATATCACCCAAAACAAATTAGAATACTAAATTCCTCATGCATAGCTTTTGCAATAAATATTGCTGGAAAACAAACATGTGCCATGAAATTTGTGTATCTGCAACCATTTGAGCCCTCAGAATGCAAAAAGACATTTTTTAATACTTTCAGAAAAAAACTGAACATTTGTACCCTGTTCTCTGCCTTAAAATTTATTTGAGGTCATATGCTAGAGGCAACAATAGTTTATCGAGTTCAAATATAGTAACTATAGTTAAGAACATACAAAGAAGGGTAAACATTAAAATCAGAGGGAACTCCTAACGGAGCAATACCGGGTATTTCGTCAAAGAAGCATCTTATACTATGTTTGCGTCAATTGCCATGCAAATCTACAGTCTGTTAAAAAGTCACAATGCATATGCAGGTCAACAATTAGGATCTGTAGCTACACATTATACAATTATATATCAGTTATCAATTGTGTCAACTTTTCAAACCTACAGGCATTGAAAAATATGAACAATGAAACGGCACTTTCACAAATTATCCATGGCTGCAAAGGTTTTGATATCATAGTTTAAGGCAGTGTCGTTTATCATTGATCGGCCAAATTTGAATACTTAGAAATAAGAAGATGTGGTATGAGTGCCAATGAGACAACTCTCCATCCAAGTCACAATGTGTAAAAAGTAAACGATTATAGGTCAAAGTACGGCCTTCAACACGGAGCCTTGGCTCCCACCGAACAGCAAGCTATAAAGGGCCCCAAAATGACTAGTGTAAAACAATTCAAACAGGAAAACCAACGGTCTAATCTTTGATCAAAAAACGTGAAATGAGAAACACTTATGAACCACATCAACAAACGACAACCACTGAACAGCAGGTTCCTGACTTAGGACAGGTGCAAACAAATGCAGCGGGTTTAAACGTTTTAACAGGTGCCAACCTACACCCTAACTTGGGACAGTAGTGTAACATTACAACATTGAAAGACACACTATAAAATATCAATTGAAATGGCTTAACTCAATCAAAAAGACATATTAACAAACACAAGTAAACATACACTGAACGAATTAATTTGATCTATGACACAATATAAATACATTATAAATATAAAAAGGGGGGGGGAGATGTAAAACAATGTAAAAAAGACAACTTCCCTTTTTAAAGATAAATCTGTTCCAAAATCTCTTATTTTTTTATGAATTTATTTACACCACACTTATTGCGACTACAAACAAGTGCTACATGATCTCAATATTGACTGCGTTTTGTCTAATCCTTCTGACCCTACGTTATATATCTTGCGACTTTATTAATGCAAATTCTCCACGAAATGTGTTGACTAATGGGATTCTAACGGATTCTAGTGAGGATATTACCAGACATTAGACAAAATGTGAAAAAGAAGACATCTATTATACTTTTTTTCCCAAAGGGAAATGATTGAAAGGTATGAATTATGCTAGTAATTAAACAAAAAATAATAATGATTCTATGAACACTAATGCTTTATATATCTTTAAAAAGAACAGTTGTTATTAAAGGCATTGTTTACTCCCAATGACAAATTGGTGTTGTCCCAGCAAAACAAGCAGCCACTAAACACTATTAATTTTGTGTGAAAGCATATAATTCCCTGGTACATTAATTAGACATTAACATTTCAATAAGAAATTCAACATAAACTCCAATAGCAGATTGAAAGAGAATATCCCGAAATAAGCAAAGGTTTGTTTTTTATTCTTTTTTTACTTTCAGACAAATATGATAAACTTGATATTTCTTCACTTTTTTTAATACCAACATTCCACAAGTTTCCTTATACATAACATTACATCGCTGGGTCTACCAAATACTCAATGAAACCTTTTTGCAAACTTCAAACATCTATATTATTAGCAAAAACGTCTGTGATTCAGAGTAAGTTTAAAACTACATTAACCCTAACCCTAACTCTAATCTTAACCCTAACCCTAAACCTAACCCTTACCCTAACCCTTACCCTTAATCCTCTTACTACGAATGTCACTCGGGAAATCCCACGTACAAAAACGTATCCTTTGATAAGGATGAGATATTGGCAAAACACAAGTCCTTTCAATGAACAACAAATTTGAAGACCTACATTGCTTCTAATGTATTGGATACATAAACTTCACAAAGCTCCGTACAAACTACGGTATATTGTCGGCTCATCTACATGTTCAACCAAGGAATTGTCCGTTATATTAATCAAAATTTCGTCCGCAAGGAAAGAGGGATTACAGAAATACTGTGACAGTATTTACTCGCGTAGTGGCATTAACTATATGATTGTGTATTCTTAAGAACTCAAAAGAACTAATGGAACAATTTTAAATCTCGGTAATTCTCTGAAATAAATTCTATCAAAAACTTTGATTTTTCCACCTTTAACACTATCATATCACATGAAAAATTAAAAACCCTTCTTAAACAGATAATCCTCAATGCTTTCCTCCATATAAATGATACCATACGCTACACATTTATTGTTTTGGGATATAGTTCCTCCCCTTTTTGTTAAAAATGAGGCCCTCAAAAACATGTTACACCGAAAAACACGTGATCAGTATGCTGGAGTTTCTTATTGACAACATATGTGTTGAATTTGAAGGTCGAATTTACCAGCAGGTTATTGGCATTCCTATCGGAACCAGCTGTTCACTTCTCCTGTTAAACCTTTTCTTATTTTCATATGAGTCGGAGTTCCTTCAGACACGTGTAAAAACAAGAAGATCAAATAAGCTAGACCATTTAATTTCACATACTTATATATTGATGATGTTCTTTCAAATAACAATCCGAACTTTTCTGATTGGGTCCCATTAATATATCCTCCATAACTAGAATTAAAGAAACAACAGATACAGCTTCCTCTGTCTGTAGAGATTTACCTCGAATTTGACAACAGCGGTCATTTCAGTACCAGAATCTATGGCAAACGAGACGATTTCAATTTTGAAATCATGAATATTCCGCACCTTAGCATCAATATACCAACTTCACTCGCGTATGGAGTATAAATTTCCCAACTCATACAATGTTCAAGAGCTTGCAGCTGCTTTTTAGATTTGTAAAACATCATGTGTTTGAGCAAAAAAAAAATGTTCATCGAAAAATACCAAGACCTAATTGATAAATATTCAGTGTTTACTTCACAAATAATACAAGATGGTCTTGAGTTAAAGATTCTAGGTGCTGAAGTTGTGTATCTTTTCATTTACTTTACAGTTTTCCCTTTATTCGTCTTCGTGCTATTATGTTTCTTTCGGTCGTATGACTTTTGACATGACTCGGTATTTATGCATCCCGCTATCGGGTTTATGACTTTTGACGTGACTCGGTATGTATGCATCCCGCTATCGGGTTTTTGACTTTGGGCGTTCCTGGTACGGTTGGATCTTAAGGTGAGATTCGGACGCAAGAGGTTTTTACCGTGTTGTTTCTATTTTGTTTACCCTGGTATTTAAAGTTTACTTAATTTGTACTTTATCGAGAAAGTGTATACTTTACTGTATACGGTATGTACTATCAACTACAAACACTTTTTTATCGGCGGCTTTTTCAATTTAAAATCAACTACAAAAACGTTTTTGACGCTTACACATGTGCAGGAATGGAAGGCGGAAAATTTTTAAGCCCATACTTTGTTGAAGAATTCCATGACTTTGACGAGCTTAAGTACAAAAGAACACGTGTATATGTGTCTAAAGTACTTTTATCCTTTTACTAACAAGAGTTATGCATTTTTAACCCACCACCAAGCATAGTTTGTCAAAAAACATTTAGACTTCATTCCGTCTCGTTCTTTTCAGTGGTCGGCCATGTTGATTTTATTATCCAGGACATTGTAAATATTACCTGTGAGCTAGACCATGATAGTTTTCCTGACAGCAAATGGTAGATTTTTGTATATGCACTGCACCTTTGTTTTTACTTTTTACAATACATTTTAGTTATTATTGTTGTGATTTTTAAATACTTCCGGTCTACCCCGTTTTTAAGTTTTTAACAAAACATTCTTATTTTATCTTTTATCTTTTACTTTTATTCTGTGTCTTGATTAAAGTCTGTTTAAAAGTTCTTCCTATCCATTTTACCACCACATTTACGATTGTAGTATTGGTGACGTAACTAAATCCTACAAAAAAAAACAATTTAAAATGTAATGTAAAACAAATTTCCCTGTTGTATATTAAATGTACCTATCTTTTAAAATATATGTCTAATTTTGACTTGCCATCCGCATATTAGCAAAGATAATCCTTTGAACACGGACACAACAAGCCAAAAAGCCATTTACACCTAGTCGTCCAGCTGTACAAAGAACTGTAAACTATAATGCAAATAAAACAAAAGCGTTGACTCAAAAGTTAGAAGCTACTGACCGTGATCATAAGTAGCCCTAAAAATGGTAATCTTGTGTTGACATTTTCAACTGCAGCATTTGAGGCATTTAGTGCAGTTATTCAAACACTTTATAATTCACAGCCATTTCAAGACATTAAATATGAATTTGAAACTCGTATATCAAAAGATGGTATTACAAGGGCAGAGGAATCTCTTGTAACATACAAGAGTGGGTTAAAATTATATTATATATATTATTGTTTTTAACAACTTCAGTCGTTAATGTGAATAGTAGACATTTACAAACTTTCTATACTGATCATTTACACTTTTTGTGCACTTTTAGAAGTAGACAAAATGATGCAAGATATGAGTAGTATTACTGATTCATCTAATGTTACACTGATAAGGCCTCAAATGTGAGTTGTGACACAGTCAGCTTTTAAGGAAATGTGTTGTCCGCAGAGATTTAATAAAGTATAAATGAAGTTGATGTTTGTCTGGTCTATGATAAACATTGTGCAGATAATGCAGTTTTGTGTGATAGGTGCAACGCTTGGTTCTCACTATGATTGTGAAAACATATCACCCTCTGATAGACAGGGCCTTGAAAGTGATAATTATTACTATTGCACTAGCTGTAGAGACTTATTGGCAATTTACAATGTTGATAGATCTGAATCTGTGGAGTGTAATCTATCTGCAAATAACTTTACTGACATTAGTTGTCCGTCCATTGTGACATTTTTGATAGCAGGGGAGCTTGGGGTGATACAAATAGTTAGAGTAAATGTGTGAGCACAGCAAAGATTATTGGAAATTTTCGACGACAAATAAAGCTTAGTAAAAAAATGTATAGACATAGCTACAATTTGCTATAGTGACACCAAAATACTTGACTACTTACCTGAAAAGGAAAAACAGTTATAAGCTAAAGAGCGTGAACTTGATAATAAAGAATGTGCTCTCTAAACAAAAGAGCGTACTTTAAATGTTACCAGTAAGAAATTAGCTGCTGTACAATCCTATATATATATATATAGGATTGTACAGCAGCTAATTTCTGTAACAATTCCATCTTCATGCATTATATATCATGTACTGTATTACGACGCTAGATTAAAACTGACGAGGAAAGGTAACACCCGGCCACCGAAAGCTTTATTATTGTGAAGCCTAGGTGGTCGTGTGGTCTAGCGCGTCGGATACAGTGCAGGCGATTTGGTGTCACGATATCTCAGTAGCATGAATTCGAATCCCGGCGAGGGAAGAACAAAAAATTTGCGAAAGCAAATTTACAGATCTAACTTTGTTGGGCTGATGTTTAGACGAGATGTATATACAGAATGTACACAGCCATGTATCACCATCACTGCTGGTGATCCGATGGAGAAATCTGTTGTAGAGTTGTCACTGGTTCA